TTTAGTGAGCGATAGCTATTGTCTGCATGCAGGGCACATCACAATGGAATCAGTCCTACTTCTTTGGAGGAGGACAGTGTTTGTTTCAAATTCAAGCTGAAGAGCTTTCATTGACGTGACCAAATAACGCACTTGTCCACATCTCCAACATCCATTTTGGTAACGGCTCGGCTGAGTCAGAACATTTTTGCTAATAGCTCTGCTGCTCAGAAATGAATATTTATTTGAGAATAAATATAACCGAACAGTGCTAAGGGCTGAATTTTACCAGCCATGCAGTTATAAAAACCTCTCAGGTGGTGATCGAAATGATCCTTGATTCTTCCCTCTTTTATTCTTCTCATTTGCCTATTGTTGTGGAAATGAAGATGAATTAATACTAAGTAATGGATACTCACAGCTCTATCACACATATAGTAGCTTACTATTCTAAATCAAATTGAAACTGTAATGCTCATTAGCATTAGGGTTGAGTATTGAAATTAAATACTGTGGCGTCCACTATGGGCTCCAGGTTTCAATGGGCTCAAGGGGCATGCCATTCAAAGTTGCGCCTGCATGCGCCACCCTCTCCCATCAAAATAACATCTGTTAGTAAAAAAACCAAACACAATATTTCAAACAGAATGAAAACCTAGAAAACCTCAAATTCTCTGTCTAATCAGGACTTTTGTGGTTGTTTAAGACAGCACAATGATTGATAGTGACAGCACAAACAACCTCACAACTGAAGGGGTTTCTATGAGCTTTTATTTTCTGGCAGAGGTAGGACTTTGAATGTATGTGAAATGATGGACTTACGTTCTACCAGTCAAAAGTAGAGTTACTACTGTAATGGTGGTGAAAAGTGTTCTTAAAGTATTTGGCCAGTCGTTCAAACAGTGTTAACATTTGCTAGAGTATAGTACTGTGTGATAGGCATGAGCAGTTGTCGGCTAAAAAACGTCAAGAAATTATGCAGGAAGAACATAACTTTACTTGCCAACTGAGCCTGGCAGTTCAGAAGGAGCAGCTATAAACAAGATACTCCCTAAAGCCTAGATTTATTTGTGTAAAACTGTGTAAGTGATCATCCATAAAGTACGCATTTTTTTATTATTATTGTTTTAAGTAAATCTGTGCATGACAGTCATATTACCACAGTTAAGAGGTGTTTTGAAAGTGCTAGCTAGCTAGCTCTCTCACTGGTAGTCAGTCAGGCACAACTAAAGAGACTTTGGTTTGTGTGGCACGGGTGCTGTGAAGAGAAGCCACTGACACAAAAGCTGCCCTAATTCTGACTTTGAGGGATCACTTGACATCAGCATCTTCCAATATAGTCCCAACCAACTCAGTCTAACAGAGGGACAAAATCTCTCATTTGAGATTACCAATATTATTAATTGGCAGTTAATAGTACATTCATGTATCAAGGTCAAGGTATTGGTGTTGGTATTGATGGATGGATGGATGGATGGATGGAAGGATGTATAGATATATATATAGATAGATAGATAAATAGACAGATAGATAGATAATCATGTGTAAATCTAGCTTCCCACAGTAAAATGCCTTCAAACTTACTGAAACTGAATTATTTTTATCATCACACAGCCTAGTTTTGGGCTTGCCCTCCAGAGCGCACCACAGCAAGAACAAGAGCAGCAGAGTAGGACGAGAGAAAGGCAGAATGACACCAAGGAGAATCCAGCATGTCAGCAGAGAGAGCAAACCTGAATAATATTTTCTGTGCATGTTGGACTTACAAGTGACATGCATGCATGTTTTATTAATGTTTAACCACAAATGTTCTGCGGCACTCTCAGATAACACTCAGCCGAAAAAGCAGTTTTGTAAGTTACAATGAGGGCAGCTCTACAGCAGCAGGCCAAGTGCACCTGCAAAACTGCAGCAAAGAAAACCTTCAACTCACTGTCAAATTATGACAACGGCTATTTGTGTGTGTGTGTTGGGAAGACGCTCTCCAGCTTTGCAAACCAAACTGACTTAAAGACTTTGCAGCTGCCTTGTAACAGAAAACTTCAACCACTTAAACTCTAGACTTATCATTCAAGTTATCAGTCTTATCATTCAAGCTATTAATCTTCAGATTTATTATTTAGACTCACTCAATACCTACCAGAAGCGGGAAATGACAAATGACAACTACTTTTGCCACAGTAGTCGAGCACACCTTTCTCTGCACCTGTAATTATTCAGAACAGGAAGCATAGTCCTCTACTTTTACTGGAGTTTATTTCTAATAAAGTACATAACTTCTGCTTTTCACCACAGCCTAAAGCTGTTGCTTATGTCCTATCGCAAGTGCCTATTAGCTAGCTAATGTAGCTCATGTGAGCCAAAGTTCAAGGAAAGATAGAATTAGTTTAAGCAATAAGCTTTGTCAATAAATTCAGTGAAACCTTGAGCATTAGACCTTCTTTCTGAGGCAAATATTAACTTAAAGTAGTCTAACTCACACTACTTACTCAAGGCACTTACAACTCATTCACACGTACATGAGTCAGTGTCTTTATTAATAACTTTACTTGCATTCAAATGAATTTCCACTAGAAGTTTACTCACATTTAAGCAGGGAATTTAGGACTTTTTGTACCACTATTAACCACTAGAATGTATACAGTATCTACCACAGTACTATGCAAAAGTCTTCATTTCTTTAATTTCCAACCAAAATGGCCCTTAAGTACAAGTTATTTACTTTTCAGCATCAGGAAAGAAAGCATGTATTTAACAGATAATTGCACAGAAGTCTCAGAAGTCACAGAAGTCAGACGTCCATAAAACTTTACTCTACAGCTGAGATGTCCTGTATAGATGTTGTGGTGCAAATCTTCCTTTTTTCTGTATCTTTTTTCAGTGTAATGGCTACAAATCCTTTCAGGCTCATAGCATTGAGTTGTCTTCTCACGGTGGGAGGATGGACAGGATGGAGACTGATTTTCTCTTCTCTCTCAAAGATGAAAGCTTTAAGTGCTGTTTATCTGATGGTGACCGTTTTGGTGGTCTACCGGGTCTTGGTATGGTTGTTAGGAGTCTCATTTCCTCTGTATCTTGTAATCATTTTTGGGCCTTTTGAAAACTTGTTTTTTTCACTTACTTTACTTTCACTTTCCCTTTCCTTCTGTAAGTGGATTATTTTATATCTAAACTCCTCAGAAATATCTCCTGTATAATAAATAACTTGTACTTTATGGATGTTTTGACTAGAAATTAAGTAAACGAAGGCTGGTCTCTGACTTTTGCACATACATACAGTCCTAAAAATAAGGTTCTTAGGAGTGACTTTTGGTTTTCTAAAGAACTTCTAAGTGAATGAAATGACATGTGGGACGGTTTTAAACCATTTTAAGGTTTAAAGTACCTACATATAATGTAAAGGTTCTATATCAGTTATCATTTTTATCCTACAACCATACATGCAAGCCAAGAACCTTTTAAGAACCCCGTATGGGAGCGAGGGATTAAAGTGTGGGCCCACGTACTGGCCCCTGCAGTTTAAGGGGTTAAGGAAGTACAGGCTAAATATGAAATAAGAAAACCTCGACAACTTATGCCTATAATCGATGAATCATCCTCCTACATTATATAACAACAGGAGCCAAAACAAGCAACAAATAGGTTTGAAATTATTCTTGGCCCACTTCCTCACCGTGCACACGCCACCACAACCCGATGGATTCCACACTGGCCGATGTGCAAGCACCTTCTCTAGGAATCCAGCAGGAACATGCAGCCCAGACCCTGTTGCTACTGGAGACAAGTCCTCCCACTCCTCTTGTCCAGAACAAACCTTAAACCTGCCAATCTCTGCAGGTAGAACCCGGCACTTCAACACTGACGAAAGCTGAAAAAAGGACAATCCCCCACGTAATCTCTTTTCTCACCACCTTTCCATCCTTTCTGGACAATCTACATTAGACGAGGAGTAAGTAACCTCCACAGATGCGATTCTGTTCATCTGCTGAGAGACACTGGCATCAAGTTCAGAGTCAAAGCCTCTGAGCGACTGGATTATGAGTCAGTGCAGCTTCACCATTCAGCTTTCATCACACCTTGTGGGCTGCCTCCTGTGCATAGGGATCAATGCTAAAGCACAGTCCACCTCACATCAGCAGCAGCATCCATGGTGTCACGTTGACCTCCATTAGCCTTTGAACAGTGCGGCTTTAGCAAGATCGTTGAAACGGGCCCTCTAGAACGGCCTCCGTTGTGATTAAGGTAAAAGGGTGAGTGGCTTCAGTACTGTTGGCTGCAACTCTCCAGTATTTTAGGTTCTGCGACGCAATAGGGCTGAAAGTGCGTGGGTGTGCGAGGCTGAGAGCTGAACAGCGTCAGGCTACAACAACTGTGTACAAGCCAAGCGTGGAATACAGTTTATTCGCAGCGTTAGCAGTGAAAAAAACACCTCCCACCAAACCAAAATGTAAAAACCTGCACGAACATATCAAGCAAACGCTTCGCCGGTGTGGACAGTTGGCACAAAGTATGATAACTAGCTTTAGTATGTCTTCTGCAGGAGCCTGAAGTTGGCTTCTTTTTCGAATTTTCCGTTCCACCTTAACTGGTGCAGCAGTAACGTTCCTGGCGCTCTGAGACGCCAGAATGTATCTGCTGCATCATTTAAGGTGGAACGGAAAATTCTAATAGGCAGCCAACTTCATCTTCGTGTCAACTGCCCACTCAGTAATTATGAAAAAACAACCAAACTATTGCTTTTTGACACAGTTTGTCCGTCCCTGCTTTTCTCGAACATAACAGCGAATGTGTCTGCTGGCTGTTGGGCGAAATTTGAGAGAGCTTTCAGAGAAACCCAGTCGTGCTGATTTTCAACGGTTAGGGGAACTAACGTTAACCACCACAGGCAGCTAGCTGGCTAATGTGTCCTGACACGTTATTGATAACTGCGCAAGGCTGTTCAGCCACAAACCACGAAACGGAGATGGTGCTGAGCAAAGCCAGGAGGGTGAGAAAAAAGGGCAGCAGCGGAAGGTACTCACTCATGTCTCGGTTTAGAAGAGTGTGGAAGCGCTCAGTCCTCCGCGGTGAGACTCCACATCGCTGCTCCGGGCTCCGAACCTCCACGCAGTTGTCAAGCGACTGGAGCCGATAGCAACAGTTTTGGTTTTTCTTGACTGGCGTCAAGGCGTCCAATCAGAATGACGGAACGCTCGCCTCGCACTCACACCCCTACTCGGGTGGACCAATCAAAACGCAAATCGGCAGCTGAGGCACGTCTTGTGGGCGTGGTTTAGTGCTCCGGCCTCGGCGTGGTATTTGAACTTGTCAAAATACAGAGCGCAGTACAGCAGTAATACAGAGCTCAGCCGAGTGAGTCATTTTTCAGATATTAACCTGCGTTCACAGTCAGAGTTATGGAAGCTCATTCCCGCCACCTAGAGAAGAATAATATCTGAAAATCATCACTTACTGTGTCGAAATTATGACTTATGTCCAAATAACAACTTAAAATCGTATCTTATAACAATGACCTACTATCTTGAGATAGCTAGAAATGACCACAAGCTATATTTAGAGAAAAGTCATTACATCAAAATGTTAAGCCAGTTTTTTTTGAGAAAATGAGTCATTATTTTGAGATACTAAGTCATTTCAAGAAAATAAATCTTTATTTCGATATATTAAGTAACACTTTCCAGAAGTAAGCCATTATTTCGAGATATTTAGTCATGATCTCGAGATACCAGCAATATTTTAAGAAAATAAGTAATTATTTGGAAATGTTAAGGCAATATTTCGAGATACTAAGTTGGAAATGTGAGAAAATAAGTCATTATTTCGAGACGTTAAGTCAAACAATTGGGAAAATAAGTCGTTATTCCGGGATGCTAAGTCACATTTTTGACATGCTGCTGCCAGAAACAAAGAAGGGAAAAAAGATAATATTTTCTGCTCGATTTGCGGGAGAGGGCTTCCACACGCATTGTTAATTTCCCCGCTTTCTGATCATAAAATACATAAGTCGATCCCTTTGTGCTGTGTTAGTTATGAATTCTGCAAAGAATAGTGTATTATGTCTTGTATCTGTGAAACTCGCCTTTTTCCAATAATAAACCTTCTTGATCTGGAGAGAGAGAGAGAGAGAGAGCGAGAGAGAGAGAGAGAGAGAGAGAGAGAGAGAGAGAGAGAGAGAGAGAGCGGCAGTAACAGAAAGGCAGCAGGAGGAGACACCCCCTGTATATTTAACCTCTAACGCCGCCATGTGGTTGTTTGTATTGTGGCAGGTTTACGGCTGGTCAGGAGGCTGACGTGCAAGATTTTAGATTGATATCAATTTTTACTACTTTCAATAATTAGTGAAATGCCTGTAATCCAACTAAAGCACGTGACAAATGGAATAAACTGCATCCAGTGTTTTCTTGTAATATTTAAACAATAGGCTACAATCTATTTACAAATACAGTTTAAAAAATAAATGATATAAATACTAATTTGTGGTACTAATCAGCCTACAGACTGAAGACTTTGTGTCTTCAGGGGAAAGGGGCATTCCACCATTTTTTCAAAATCTCTGAATAATTCTGTGGTTGAGATGTAAACAGTCACTCAGAGTGGTTTGGTGTGAAATGGTTCACTTCAGAGAATCGTACAGATTCAGATTTCTTTATAGCGGTGCTGATAGGAACCAGGAGTCCAAAGCCACAGTGAACTTACACGTGTTTTCTGAGTTTTTATATGTAATGTTGATGATAGTAAAATAGTGAATCTAAAAAAAAAGCTTTCTTTGGGGACTTTACAATGCTCTTCATGTATCCCTCCACCATAAATGGCTTAAAAAGCTTGATGAAAATACGTTTTGGCCAAAACTATCATAAAACAATGTCTCAGACACCAGGCAGCGTATATCTAACCATTTCATGGAATTCTATGAGGGAGCTTTTAGAGGTGGACGTCTGGTTCCTATCACCTCCACTGTGAACAATTCTAACTCTATTTCTCTACAACAGATGTCACATCAAACCGCTCTGAATGACTTTGTCTACATTTGAACCACATTTAAAAATTGGTGGAGTTTCCCTTTAAGATAGAAAGAAAAGTGCGACAGGTTTGAGGAAAGAAAGGGAGAGAAAGAAAGAAAGAAATAAAGAAGCTCCAGTATGCCAAACAAACGACGCTTAGGGTTTTTTCCCACCAGTTTTCCGGCAGGTCCCGCCTCTTCTGCGCTGGGATTGGCTAGAAGGTAAAACCCTCGTGCAGTTTTTAAAGGGGAAATCCACCGATGTGAAAACATTTCTGCATAATTCTATGGTTAACATGTAAACAATGTCATTCAGAGTGTTTTGATGTGAAATGTTCTGCTCTGGACAAAGTGACCAATTCAGAAATCTTATAGTAGTAGTGATAGGAACCAGACATCCAAAGCTTTTAATGTCTTTGAAACTACATCACAGAAAATAATTACACGAAATGGATGCAAATACATAGTCATATGTCAGAGATATTGTTTTACAATCATTTTAATATGATGTTTTGGCCAAAAATGAAGATTTTAAAAGCTTGTAAGCCAAAGCTGTACCCAAAGAAGGCCTAATGTTTCCCTTTTACCTCTATTTTATCATCATCATTACAGATAGAAACTCAGAAGAAATGTGTATGTTCACTGGTGGTTTTTGGATAGCAAATAAAAAGGCTATATTTGGGTTGTAGATGTGTGACTTCTGGTTTCTATCAGCACCACTGTAAAGAAATCTGAGTTGGTAACTTGCTCTATAATGAACCATTTCACATCAAACCACTCTGAATGATGTTATTTAAATCTCAACAATTGAATCAGGCAGACATTTTGAAAAAAATCCCCCATTAAATTTTATATTTGTAAGCTATATAAGAACTGTATGTATTAATTTTGAGAAACAATCTAGCTTTACTTTACATATGTGTAATAAGAAGGTAATTACATGGTAATAGTGTGGTGACAAGTTGTACTAGCTTGAAATTACATGCTAATTTTCCAGTTGTTAATAAATAATAAGATGGTAATTACAAGCCAGTAATAATATGCTAAAAATAAGTTACACTAACCAAAAAATGCTATGCTAGTTTTCTAGTTGTTAATAATAATTAATAATAAATTAAGATAAGTTGAGATGGAGAAAGATGATCATGTTGTATAAAGATAAATGCGGTGAGATGTGAGTTTTTCCCATTACTGAACACATTTCAGAGTCTTTTTGCCAGATCTGTGCTTTTGACATGATAGGGTAACATTGTTTTGTTAGTAGGCAGCACAAAAGGAACATTTTCCAGCCCTGATTCTGTGTAATCTCAGCATATTTACCTCATCTTTTCCTGGATATCTACACTTGACTACAGGTGGGCTGTCATGTAAAAATAATAGAACAACCATGAGTGATTTTAATACAGGGATTTAGCTGTAGTAGTTGCCCATACTATCTTGAGGGACTGAGGTTTTCATCTGATGTGAGATGCACTAACTGGGAAAACAAGAAGGAAAGAATAAGTTTGTAATTTACAGCTCCAATACCAGTCAAGTTCTCTGTAATTCCAGCCTGTAAACATATCTGTATAGCACCCTGCGGCTGCCCATTTAAAGATATGCTAGTTAAGAAACTAAGTAGAAGAGAGTGAATTAGTATTTAACAGCTTTAATACCATGTAGCAGAATTACTTCACTGTTTTAGGAAAATAATGCTGATATTATAAATATAAAAGATTTTTAAAAAATTAGGTGATATGTTGATTAAGCAGATATTATGTCATAAGAGCTCGACATATTATGATGAGTAAAAAAAATCAATGGCTAACTAATTGTTAAGTATATTGTTAGTTATACTGTAATATCTACTATTTGAATTATTTTGTATCTACTGGAAAATTAACATTTCAATTATGGGTAATTGCAGTTTGTTACTATCGCATTATTTATTATTTATAAAATTGCAAATTAGCATGTCATTTTTAGGTTAGTATAACATTTATTTTATTATTTAAATTTTATTAACAACTTGTTTGTACTACAATTGTTAACTCAATATTTATTATCTTTAAACTATGCATGTCATTTTTAGGTCAGTACAACTTGTTATTGTAATATTATCATATTATTACCCACTTATTACACATTTGTAAAGAAATGTGATGCTGAAAATATTTATAAATATTAATAGCATCAATACATAGAAAATATCTGCTGCTCTCAAATGGTTCCCCACCATCAAAAGACCCATATCCTACATTTTCCATGCATTTTAATATTTTACTGAGGCTCAGTTTAGATAAATTTGGCACTTATGATGCATGTGTGGGTTTGAGTACCATGAATTAATGTAATTCATGTAATTAGTCATGTAATTCATTTTACCTGACTATTTTTAAGCCTCACTTCATCCCTTAGAGTTGATTTCTGCCTCTGTAAAGATTAATATATGTGTAGGCTTACAAAGGTCACAATATGCATCAGGCAAATACTGACTAGCTATCTGGTAGTATTGAGGTGAGGGATGAGACCCAAACAATACTTGACCCAAACCAGCACAAAATCAAAAAGAGCAGTTTGAGCAGAAGAGGAGCAACATTACAAACACCTACTGTCTTCAGAATATGACAAAAATAGTGAAGCAAATATTAATTCCTAGAGACAAAAAGGATGATCCTCCTCCTTTTTTCTGTACATTCTGGTTTGGACACTTTTCCCTAGTGCACACTTTCGCATTATGTGCAAGTTGGCAGACACCTGTTTGCAGATTTGCAAGGGCAGAAATGTATTTCAGCCTTACAAATTCAGCCTGAAGTTTTTGTTCCTGTGCCTTGACTGATATACACTATGTAGCCAAAAGTATGTGGACACCTGACCATCACACCTGTGTGAGCTTGTTGGTAATTCTATCCCAAAACCATGAACATTAATAAGAAATTTTCCCCCTTTTTGTGGTTACAACAGCCTCCACTCTTCTAGGATGGCTTTCCACAAGATTTTGTAGTGTGTCTGTGGGAATTTGTGCCCATTTAGTTAAAAGAGCATTTGTGTGGTCAGGCACTGAAGCTGGATGAGAGGGCCTGGCCCGCAATTGTCGTTCCAATTCATCTCAAAGGTGTTCACTGGAGTTCCTCCACATCAAACCATGTCTTTGTGGACCTCGCTTATAGTCATGCTGGAACAGGTCAGGGCCTTCCCCAAACTGCTGCCACAAAGTTAGTAGCATATAATTGTCTAAAATGTCTTTGTATGCTGTAGCATTAATATTACCCTTCACTGGAACTAAAGGAGCCCAAGCTCTGAAAAAAGCCCCAGACCATTATTCCCCCTCCACCAAACTTTAGTTGGTAGCATTCTCCTGGCATCCACCAAACCCAGAATCGTCCTTCATACTGCCAGATAGTGAAACTTGATTCATCACTATAGAGAACGTTTCCACCTCTCCAGAGTCCAGTGGTGGTGTGCTTCACACTACTCCAGTTGACGCTTGGTATTGCACTTAGAAATCTTAGGCTTATGTGCAGCTGCTTGGCCATAGAAACCCATTTCAGGAAGCTCCTGACACACAGTTCTTGTGTTGATGTTGTTTCTAGAGGCGGTTTGGAACTTTGTAGTGAGTAATGGGCAATTTTTATGCATGATTCAGCACTCAGTGAGTTTGTGAGGTCCACTGCTTCTTTCAATTCACAAAAACAACACTTAGAGTTGACTGGGGCAGACCCAGCAGGGCAGAAATTTCACGAACTGACTTGTGGCATCCTAGGGCAGTACCATAATTAAACTGCCTGAGCTCATCAGTATGATCCATTCTACCGAGAATGTTTGCCTATGGTGTCTATGTGCTTGATTTTAAATACCTATTAGCAACGAGTGTGGCTGTCACACCTGAAGTCTATAATTAAAAGGGGTGTCCACAAACTTTTGGTCACATATTTTATGTACATGATGCCTGTTCTGATTTGCTGCCCTAAGCAGTCCTGGCTGAAACACTGCTTATAACTTCAGCGTGAATGGGCAGGGCTAAACTGCTGTAGGTGAATAGGTGGATGTAAATACATTCAGTAAATACATTCAGTGAATTCAGGCTGTTTTTGCAGCTTAATTTCTGCATATATCTGGACTGTGCAGTGATTGGCACGCTTTGAACTTTGTTTACATAGGCCTACATCATCAAACCCTTTTATTTCAAAAAATGCCACTGACCCTTTATCCACACGAAGAAAATATGTATTTTTATAAATACATTGTAACACAGTGAAGCACTTACAGCCACTTCGGCTAGACGACAAAAATAACTTTTCCGTCAAGATGCATGTTTATGTGGCGATTCAGCAGGACTGCCCGTGAGTCTCCAATCGCGGCGCAGAAGGGGTGGAGTCTTCCGGAATGCGGGTGGGAAATAAAACAACACAACGCGTGGAAAACGCACCACGTAACGCTGCTTTTCGGCGCATGCGCACAGAGCATCGAAATGGCGGCCAGGTCCTACGAAAAGTACTGAGATCTGCTTCAATTTCGACAAATTTGCCAAGGTAGGTCGCACCTTTCGCTCTTCAGCTCTATTCCACAAGCTGTATAAGCCTTTAATGTGTTCGCTGCCGAGCACGGCCCGTCCTGGTGGTCCGGTTTGGAGGTTTTAAACGGTATCTTCACTGTCAACACTTTTCTCCCCTCGCACTGTATTTGTGGATTGATGTTATTTCCAAAGTGGTTGACGGGCGTTCACCCCTCCCATTAGCGCTGATAATTCATTAATACCTATTCGCTTTGGTTTTTTTATATCAGCTTCTGTCTGTGGGCTCCTCACTGCTGCTTTATTTTCGTCCGGAACCTGAAGGCTGGTCAGTCTTTTTTGCTCGGGTGTGTTAATGTTTTGTTGATGGCTGAGGCTTCTCGTCCTTGGTGATGACGTTTCCTTTTCGAGTTCCCATGACTTTATCAGAGTCGTCACCAGGCCCGATTTTACAAAGGCTTTAAAAAAGTAAATACGTTAATTAATAAGAATTGTGTTGTAAAATAGATTCGGCAAGTTTTTAACATTTTTTAAACAGTATTTATAATGTAAAGTATGAACTCACATCACATCTGCAACTTCTTTGAAATTATTCGTTTTTTAAAATATTTTCCTAATATTAGCATGCACCTGTAACAGTGGACTGTAATATAGATTGTAATACATATTCATTTCTAATAGAAATACCATGTATTCATTTTTTGTTTGTGTTTTTTATTTTTAAAATAAGCCTAAAACTAGTGGCAGCATAATCATATTAACATGACGACATAGTCATATCTGATATTCCCTCTAATGCTGCGTTTGTTTCACTTTTTCCTGAATATTTGTATGCAAATATAACTATACATTGCAATATAGATTTCAACAATAGGTATTTGGGTTATTTCAATGCTTATTTCAATAATAAGGACTTCGATTTAACAGTTGTTGCTAATGTAAGTACTTTTTCCACTGAAGATTATAGTGGAGACTGAATGATCAAGCGTTTGTTCTGTTGCTATACAGTTCATTATTATTTTGTTATAAATGTTTTATGAAGGAAGTAATAAATGATGATGAAGTTCCTGTAAGATTAGGAGATGCTCCTTGGTGCTTTTTGCTCCAGTCAGTATTATTTTTAGTGCTGTTAGACCTCCTGTGCTGTTTTATATCAGTCAGTTCACAACACTGAAATCTTTAGCCTTGATTTGCTGTGTTTTCTTTTTGCCCACTAGCTTAGTTTCAACTGGAAGTAAAAATGGAACAGTTTCTGTTTGATAGTGAGATGAGATGATTTGAGGCCCTGCGAAATAGTTTATCTCCCCTTCAAAGGCTGTTTGAATGATGTATCTAGGATACGTGAAGAGGAGGACTTCAGTAGAGAGCACAAGCTGAACATGCGCACTGATGTAAAAGGATACGCTAATTTGACCAGTGCTTCACTGCTATGCACCGTGCACCTGGCCTAAACGTCTGTTCAGTGCAAAGATAAGTAGACACACGTGTGCTCACTATAGTTCTGCCTGTTCCACTGACCTCCTTCTTGTTCTTCTTCTCAATGGAAAGAATGCAGCAAGAGATTTTAATTCATCAAGTCACTATGTAGCCAGACTGCTCTGTTGGACCTTTTCCTCTGTCATATCAGCCACTGACCATGCCATAAACTGCTATGATTGAGTAGAAAGTGTCATAAGGAATTGAAGAAGTGTCATATATTCAGATTGTGTGAAACGAGAGCAGTCCAGGCCTACAGTACGGTGCTAGTTATGGATTAGGGATGCACTGATTTAGGAATTGTGGGTATAGCCAATATTTTATATATGTTCGACTATACTGACGCTGATACTTAAACATTTATAAGAAGTAGAAATTGAGACCACCTGGATTAGCATTATGAAATGATATATAACATATGCGCTGCTCCAGAGGGCAATAAATACATCATCAAATATCAGTTTGAAATATTGGTCAAATTTAAACATCTGTCAAATATCTGCTGATGCCGATATGATTTTGATAATGTGCATACACTGAAAAAAGGTTTTCATTTCTTTCCGAAAGTAACTTTATGTAGTAGCAAGCAATTTAACTGGTTTCAACTCCTTTGGACGTAACGGTGCAAAGCAAAAATTTTGTTTGGATGCACAATTGAATTCTGCGTCAATTCAAACCTCAGAAACTCTCATGGAAAGCCACATTTTCCTCCATTACAGAAAAATAAGAGTTTGATGTAGCATATACACATTGTTTTTCAAACAGTGTTTCAGAACATGTAGTTCACTAACTAAGCGATATATGGAAATTAAAAGCCCATTCTGACTTCATTGTTTTTGTGATGTCATGAAACCAACACATTTACACATAGCCAAATAGATAAAGAGAAGTTGGAAAATGGTCATGTAAAAACTGAAATTATTACTAATTTTGGTACACAAGTGTTCAGGGTTTCCCTCAGGTCTAAAATAAATCTGTGGCGGAGCATCGGGGGTGAAGACTGTTGGTGGTATTCTAAGACATATATGGATATCCAGACTCCTCTGAGTATTTGTTTTCCTTAATTGGATATTCAGATAGGGCACATATTTTTTTGTAATAAAATGTATTATCTTTTTTAAGAGTGTGGTTTAGTGAGCATACTGTACTGAACCACACGTTAAAACAAAAGCAGCTAATGTTGCGTCTCGGATTTGCCCTTGTTTATACTTAAACAGTAAAAAATAATGGCAAATCTCATAAAATAGGACAAAGTGGCAATTGAGAGTCGTTAAAATTGGACGGTATACTTGTTTGGTATATTTGTCTGAAAATGGATCTTAAAAAATGTACCTTTTCAGCTTTTAACTGTGAAATAGAAAGTATTAAAAATCAAGTTTTTCTTGTTATCGTGGTTCCTGCTGTCCAGGAAAGTCAAAATTTCTGATCCTAAAGATGATGGGTTGTAGTAAGATTGTTCAAAACATAGCAAATGTTATGAAAATAAATATTTATCACAGAATTTATGAAGGATTTTTAATAGAATTTAGGCCATGTATTATATAAAAGCACATAGTGAGGATTTCTTCTAATGACCCATTTGAACATATTAATCTGCTTAGAAATGTGCTCGGCTTGTCTTGTTGGCAAATTCTTACTTCCTCTCATCATTACATCTTTCATTTGTTCTCTGTGTTCTGCCAATATTAGCAAACATTTCAAGCTCAACTTTCAGCAAGTTTTCATAATGCTTGATAAATACTCTTTTAATATTTTATGGCCAACTTACTTAATGTGGGCATTGAAAGTAAGTGACTCGCACCATTCTTGTAACTTGTGCCAGTTTCACAGGGATTGTTTTCAGTTGTGAGATCACAGAGTCATTTGCAAGGAGTAGTTAAGATGTTAAACTCTGCTTTTGTCGAAGTTGGGAAAAGAGTGATGAAAGTTGGCCCTGTATTAATCCTTTATTTTCTTAGGACACTGTAACTGAGCCTGTTTTTCGAGGTAGTTTGATTAAACAATTACATAATGTTAAATACAGATATTCAGTGTTCATGTACAAAAATATGTATCACCCTTTGCAAAGCTACTGAAGATATTCAGTATACAAACCTGTATGAGTGGTATGTAGCTGGTGGCCAGCTCAGACTCATAAAGAGGGGCTAATTGTGTGGGTAGTGAGTGGATCACTGTATGGCCGCTCAGGCTCAGGAATATGTTCCCACCAGTCACATTCTCCATCCAGAAAGACACTCCTCCACTGGAAGAGCGGTGCTTGGCTTGGAAAACAGGGCCCACATGGCCCTCGGTGCCTTCTGAATAGCACCTCTGTGGGGGATTCCCCAGTCCTCGGCCTACCAGGCTTCATTTTACCGGATATGTAGAAGATCAGCGGTGTGGATTCCCCATAAACTTCATGTAGGTGGAAACAGTTTCAGACAGACAGGCCTGAATTGGAGACTCAGAACTGAAAGTCACTTAATACAATGAGGGAAAAAATAAATTCGTACTTATGATCAAAATCATACATTACAGACCAGCTTCCATCATTTAATTTCCAGTCAAATCAGCCATGAAGTACAAGATATTAATTTTCAGGAGATATTTCTGAGGAGATTAGATATAAGATGATCCACGAGAGGAAAGTCAAAGGAAAACATATGAGAAATTGGGGCCCCTAAGAACAGCACAAGACCTGGTCGATCACCAAAACTGTCCCCATCAGATATAAACAGTACTAAAAGCTTTCATCTCTGAGAGAGAGGAGAAAATCAAGCTCCACTTCTGCTTCACATTTGAAAAAACAATCCACAGGTGTTTCTGAAAAAGGGGAAAGGAAATTTGACAAAAAAGGAAAAAATTGCAGATCAGACAAAGAAGCTGCTGGTGTTCTCAGAGCTATGGACTGACCACCTCGGAGGCCAGGCCTCAACATCACTGAATGTGTCTGGGATTGCTTGAATGGTGAGAAGCAACTTCTAAGACTGAACTTTGGAGGTGTGGACAAATATCCCTGCAGATTTTTTTGAAAAACTGAAAGTGAGTCTCCTGAAAAGAATGGAGGCTGAAATAAAGACAAAGAGTGGACAAACTAAATACTGAAGATTTTTATATATTATTTAATTGTTGAGGCTTCTCTGTAGTTCTCTGTTAAGTATGTTTCCTGTTTGACACTGAAAAATGAATAACTTGAACTTAAAGGCCATATTGACTAAATAAATGAAGGGCACAGTTATTAACTCCAGCAACCAATTCAATAAAATCTTAAAAATTAAAAAAATAAAGTAAAGCTTTTTTTTAGCATTTAAAGACAAATTCATAACGTTCTTCAAACATTTAAACTTACTTTATGGCTTTTTGAGTTTACCTCATGGCACTGGTGATCTCTGGTGCACTGTAAAAAATGGCTTGTCAGTTCAACCTAAAAACTTTACTTCATGTGGTAACAAGTAGATTTATGTAGATTTATTTTTTTTTAAACCTAAATAAATACAAACTTTGAATGAATGAGTCTTTCAATCAGAGTAATTTTTTGGTTGAATTAAACTAGTTCAGTTGCTT